GAGGTCGAGGCTGCAGTGGCCAGGAGTGGCCACCGCACTCCAGTCTGGGTGACAGAGTGAGACTCCAACTCAAAAAAAAAAAAAAATTAGCCAGACGTGGTAGCGCACCCCTGTAGTTTCGGCTACTTGGAAGGCTGAGGCAGAAGGATCACCTGAGCCCAGTAGGTCGAGGCTGGGGTGGCCATGAGTGTTCCACTGTACTCCAGCCTGGGCGACAGGGTGAGGTTCCAACTCAAAAAAATAAAAAATAAATAAAATGTTAGCATAACCAGGTTTTGTGTCACAGCAGTGGTCATGTATCAAAAATGTTTTTTGGTTTTTAAAATTTTAATTTTAATTAATTTATTTTTTAATTATAAAGATGTAGGGTACAATTCAGGGTTAGGTATACAAACATTGATTATGCAGGTACCCTTGTTGATGCAAAAATGTTAATGTAAATCTTGAGACAAGCTAAAACTACGTGTAGGCTTCAAACTCAGGGTGAATAAAAGGCTATGAATTTTGGGTATAAATACTGCAATAAATTTGTGTTGCTTTAAGTGTGCCTTTTGGTAATGATGCCGACTTATCTCCCTGTGACCTGGTTACAGAAATTAAACACCCCCTTTTCTCCTGTTTCTACCTCTTTTCTTTGCTTGGCTGTGAGGGATAGCAACTGATTTATTAATTCAGACCATAAAAAGGGAAGAAAGGAAGGGAGGAAGGAGAGGGAAAGGAAGGGAAACACTCTACAATGTCGGGCTATTGATTCCCAATTAGATGACTTGTTTTAGTTTTTTTTGTTTCATTTTTTCATTTTTCTGATCACCATTACACTCTTTCTTATTGTTTTGTTTTTTGTTTTTTGTTTTTTTACCTTTTGGAATTCTAATTTGTACAGGAGCTTTTTACTCCTGAGATGATTTATATATCATTAGTTTGCAGGCCTTTTTTTAAGTAAAAGAAATTTTACGTTACTGTTCCTAGTTGTTTTTGGCTTTGTTTGTGGGTTTTTTTTTTGTTGTTGTTGTTGTTGTTGTTTTAGTTGGAGTCTCACTCTGTTGCCCAGAGTGTTGTGGTAGCTCACAGCTACCACAGCCTTGACCTGCTGGGCTCAGGCAATCCTTCCACCTCAGCCTTCCAAGTAGCTGGAACTACAGGTGCACATCACCACACCTGGCTAATTTTTTGATTTATTGTAGAGATGAGGTCTCACCATATTGCCCAGGCTGATCTTGAACTTCTGGGCTCAGGCAATCCTCTTGCCTCTGCCTCACAAAGTGCTGGGATTCCAGGCATGAGCCACTGCTCCTGGCCACTATTCCTAGTTTATGAAAGTATGAATAAATAATATTAAGCATTGGATAGTTCTCAATAGCATAATTCATGTATTTGGTCTATTTAGCATAAACTAAATTAAGTCTCTAAGTTTGTAGGGCTTCTAATTATATTTATTTATTATTTAAATGCCTTCCCTTCAGCAATAATATTAATATTTAGTTATTATTTATATGCAATTATAGATTATTCAAATATAATTTCATAAATAGATAAAAATACAAGCTCATCCTCAAAGAGATATCAGTTTATAGACACAATTGGTGTAATTTTTAAAATGATACAAAAAAATATGAATCTATTTATTTGAATTTGGGAAATTTAGTTTAGTTTGTTTATTTGCCAAGTCAGAGTCTCACTCTGATGCCCAGGTTGGATGGAGGGGAGGGCAGTAACACATTGGCAGCTCACCACAGCTTTGACCTCCTGGACTCTGGTAATCCTTCTGCCTCTACTCCCCAAACAGCTGGGGTTACAGGCATATGCCACCACTTCTGGCTAATTTTTTAAGTTTTTGTAGGGATGCAGTCTTATTTTGTATTTCAGGCTGGTATTGAACTCCTGGGCTCAAACAATCCTTCTACCTCGGCCTCCCAAAGTACTAGGATTACAGGTGTGAGCCACTCTGCACAGCCTGGAGATTTAGTTTAGAGGTTTATATTTTTATCTGTCTTCTGTGGGAAATCAAAACTTAATCTTATTTGGAAAAGTTAAAAAAAACCCTCTATATAAATAATTAGGTTTTGAAACTTTCATATTCCCTTTATTTTTTCAAGTGTATTGTATGTTCAATTTTAATGGAGTAGTAGGGTTTTTACTTACACTCCTGCTGTAAACAACTATAAAACTCAACAAAATACATGATGAAGCAACTACTATCAGCATAGGACAGAAGGGGATACAGGGATATAACTGTGAGGGTAGGACAGCATGGTCCAGAAGTCCTCATCCTCTTGTCCTTTTGCCAGGGTACTTTCCAAACCTGCACAGTCAACTGGAGTCCAGATAGAAGAAGGTAGACACAACTGAGATCAGAGCCCAGTGCCAGAGGGACAATAGAATTTCCAGGAAAGCTGTAGTTGTATTTTCTCTGGGGGTTGGTGCAGGGGAGGGGTACTACCAAGGCAGGGGTTATCTGAGGCCTCAGGCTAGCTACCCTGTGCCCTCCACCCTAAAAGAAGAGGCCTCACTCTGGCATCAGAAGTCATTTGTAGTCTGCCACTGAATCCCAACTTCCTCTCCAGAAGCATGTTTCTCATTGCTGGCATCAGAGATTGAGTGATTACTTCTTGTTATAGAGCTGATGTTCCCCCTGCAGCACCCAAAGAGTACTGGGCCCAAATGTCATGATGATCTCTGGGACTAGCTCACATTCTCTGATGCAGCAGGGAAGATAGCATTCTTGTTACTGTCTCCTGGACCCCTTGGGAGACATTTGGGACTAACCTGACCCAAACTTGTATGATGGAACACATCTGAGTCCCAAGGCCTGGGTCAGCATAGCTATGTTCCGTGAATTCATACCAACACTAACTGGTCATGTTTCTCAGCCTGGGGAAACCCAGCTGTGAAGGAACAGTCTTAGGACAACCCCAGGTTCCTCACAAGTGTTTTCTATGGTCTTGAAGGAAGGACTTCGCAGGACCAAAGGGAGATCTGTAGGCTTATCTGGCTCCTCCCTCCAACAGCTGGCCAGTCATGGAGCATACAGTCAATGAAATTCAAATTAGTCTTAAAAAATAATTTGTCATCTAAGTGTTGATGTATCAAATGCAAAATGAGAAAGTAGGTTTAGTATGTTCAAGATTTATCATTAAGTGAGAAAAGCAAAGTGCAAATATATATACAAAGTATGACTGTTTTTACTAAAAGGAACAACTGGTATAGGAAACAAGTTTAAACACATATACATACATACCTTCCAGCACATTTATGTGAACGCAGAATTCTAAAAGAATAATTCTACATTATACATCTCAGCTTCTGTGTTTATTTTCAGAATTCTGGTTACTTTAGGCTGAGCACAGTGGCTCACACCTGCAATCCTGGCATTTTGGGAGGTTAAGGTGAGAGGATTGCTTGACCCTAGGAGTTGGAGACCAACTTGGACTACATAGTGAGACCTCATCTCTACAAAAAACAAAAAAATTTGCCATGTGTGGTGGCACACGCCTATGGGTCCAGCTACTCATGAGGCTGAGGCAGAAGGATTGCCTGAGCCCAGGAAGTCAAGGCTGCAGTGAGCTGTGATTGTGCCACTGCACATCAGCCTGGTTGAAAGGGTGAGACACCAACTAAAAAAAAAAAAAAAAAAAAATCCTCGTTATTCTACTTTAACTCCATGCTGATATTGTTCAATGTTGTCAAGAATGAAGAAGACTCACTTTTTTTAGACAAATCTTCAGAAAGACCATTGTAGTCATGTGCTCAGGTTAGCTCTATCTCTTCTCAAGTATCAATACTAAAACTTCTCAGATGTCTTAACTTATTTTTTTCACAGTCCACTGATGTTCCTCAGAGATATTTCTACCACTATCTTTAAATTACTACATTGTCATTGCCAATAGCTTTCTGTAATTTGCATTTTCCAATTTTTTTTTCCTGCAACAAACCCAATATCCCTCGGTGTTCAGTCCCAGCGACAGAAGAGAAATGATCATCACTTCCCAGCAAAGAGCTGAAATCGTGGATTTGAGACACTTGAATTATCTCAGTGTTGAAGCACCATGTGCATACATGATTCACGTTTGGACACTGCAGCTATTGTCCTGTACTATAATAGCACTTATTTTATTGTTTTCTTTTTGACATTAATATCAAATTTCTCAAATAATCTGCAAGTAAAAGATACGAAATAGATAAAAACATTGTTAGTGAAATGAACGCAATAATTAACTATATAAGTTAAGAGAAATGTTTTATGTGAAAACCACATATCCATCTTTGTATTTCTCCCTCGGAATGACCCAACAACACTTCTCTTACTGTCATTGCCATACCTGGAATATGTTTTCTCTTGACCTTGAACAAACATACACATACTGACTATAATGCCTGTAAAACTTGAGAGTGCATGCATCTGAACTACGATGTGATAATTTTATTAGCTTCAGTTTCCAGTGAATGCAATTTATCTCTGAATGACTCTATGAAATGTAGTGTTCCCTTTGATGTGTGGCTTTTGAGAGTGTGGCAAATGATATTTTAGATTCTGGGTGGAAGCTGAGCATCACGGATTCTGAAATAATATGTCTTTCAACACATGGGTGTTCAGTTGCACACTGCACCCCCAGAAATGTGAGTACCTCTCCCTCAAAGAAGGGAAACACCTCTCCGCCTTTGGACCTGGAGTCGCAGTTTCCTAATGCCGCTCGCGGTGGAGCTTCGTCCTTTCTTCTGGAAGACCGCTGGGGAGTGAACTTACTGTTGTGTATCTGTGGGAACTACATTACCCAGAACGCGCTCCGTGGAACGGAAGCGTGGCTGAGCCAACGAACCTGTGGAGAAGGGGGAAGCGCGTAACGTGAGGCCGGAACTTCCGGCGTCCTCTCCGCGGCAGCCATTTTGGCTTGTTTTGGGTTCGTGGCTTTATGTTGGGTCTGGGCGGTTGTGGCAAAATCGAGAAAGCGCGAGAGGAGGTGTTGTCTCTGCTGCACAGAGACGGACCTGAGGCTTGGGGACGCCGCAAGGCGCGACCCTGCGACAAGATCTGTGTGGGAACCGCTGTGCCCGCGTCCCCTGTCGCCCACAGAGTCTGATGGCGGCGGCCGCGCTGACGGTACCGACTCAGGTAAGTGCTGTGTCCTCCTGGCCTCACCCACCCTCACCCCATCCAAATCCTGAAGCCGCTAGTGAAGGATTCTCGCGTTCCTGCAGCCGACGCCTCGGTCTGCGACAGAGGCGCTCGGGAGTGGGGTGCCCTTTGCTGAAACCCAGGTGATGGGGTGTGGAAGGTGTTACAGGCAGAGAAACCCGTGCTTGCGAAACCGTGGAGGCGCGACCGAGTTGGGCAGATTCGAAATCCGGGCACGTCTTTTGTCTGCTAGTAACAAAGAGCGTGAGGCAGAGTTACTTCTTCAGGGGCAGGCAAAAGGCTGCACTTTCACTATGAAGACTCCAGAGCAGGGGTCCCCAGTCCCCCGGTCACAGACCGGTACTGGTCTGTGTCTTGTTAGGAACCAGGCCGCATAGCAGGAGGTGAGCTACAACAGGAGGTGAGCTGCAGCGAACAAGCAGAGCTTCATCCGTATTTACCCATGGTTCGCTTTACCGCCTGAGCTCCGCCTCCTGTCAGATCAGCCTGCTTCCATTTCCGACATCTGTCATTGTGAAGCAGGGGTTCCTGCAGTGGCAGCAACCAAACGAGATTATAAGTGGACTGGACATAGGCAACACACTTGGAGTGTCACTGTCTCTCATCACCCCCAGATGGGACCGTTTAGTTGCAGGAAAACAAGCTCAGGGATCCCACTGATTCTGCATTATGGTGAGTTGTTTAATTATCTCATTATACATTACAATGTATAATACAATGTGATAGAATTAAAGTGCACAATAAATGTAATGCACTGGAATCATCTCAAACCCCCCTCCAACCCTCCCATCTGTGGAAAAAGTTGTCTTTCACGAAACCCATCCCTGATGCCAAAAAGATTGGGGATCACTGCTCTAGAGCCATGGAAAGTTTTGGACAAAGGAAGAAACTCAGTCTGTCTTAGGGTTTTAAAAGTTTCCCAAAGGATATTAAAACGAAGAACATAGCCGGGCTTGGTGGCTCAGCCTGTAATCCCGCGCCTTTGGGAGGCTGAGGTGAGTGGATTGCCTGAGCCCGCGGGTTCGAGACCTGCCTGGGCAGTGAGACCTCATCTCTACAATAAAAAAAAAAATCAGCCGGGCATGGTAGCGCATGCCTGTAATTCCGGCTACTTGGAAGGCTGAGGCGGAAGGATCGCTGGAGCCCAGCAGACGAGGCTGCGGTGGCCGAAAGTTGCCACTGCACTCCAGTCTGGGCGACTGAGTGAGACTCCAACTCAAAAAAAAAAACAAAAAACGAAGAACATAGGAGTAGGAGGTGATGAGGACATTGAGGAAATGAGAGGGTTGAAGTAATAAGTGACATTGAACACTAGCCACAGGTTGAGACTCAGCCTGAGGTCACCTGGCTCCAGGACCACAAAGAGCAAGAGAGACTTGATTCTATCATATCCTACCACTGACACATTCCAAAGCCCCATCTTTCACACACCTTCTCATGGCTACAGAAGCACTTAAGAAACCCACAGAAGAAAGTAGAGTGTGTTCTAGTTTCTCATTTGTCCTGGCCTCCACCTGCATGTTGTCTAGATTGTTGTGTCCTGAAACTCTTAAGTGCATTTCTTCAGTCCTTTGATCTGAAGATCTTGAAACCCAAAACTTAATAACATGGGTTATTGGGAGAGGTTTCCATTTCTGTGAATCAATATACAACACATATAGAAGGTTAACCCTGGAGCTGATACTGGGATGTACAAATGCTTAGAGGTGCATCTGAGGGGAGAAGGTGATGCTGTTACCAAAGTCTTAACAGGCCGTGGGCTCCATCTGGTTACAGAGTGGAGAGCAGACTGTGGGGTTGGGGGAAGACAAAGGTTAGAGTGGAGGCTGCTGCCATAGTCCACATGAGGATTAATGGGCCAGAGCTGTGGCTTAGATGCTGTGACTGAATTCTGGGTTTATGTTTTTTTAAAGAGGCAATTCGATATTCTAATGTGGACAGGGTCTGAAAGAGAGGGTTCAGGGGTGGCCCCAGGATATTTGGTCTTAGAAGCTGTAGCAAGCCGGGTTCGGTGGCTCAGCCTGTAATTCCATGCTTTGGGAGGCTGAAGTGAATGGATTGCCTGAGCCCATGGGTTCGAGACCCGCTTGGGCAACTTGGCGAGACCTCATCTCTACAATAAATCAAAAGATCAGCCGGGCATGGTAGCGCATGCCTGTAATTCCGGCTACTTGGAAGGCTGAGGTGGAAGGATCGCTGGAGCCCAGCAGGTAGAGGCTGCAGTGACCGGGAGCGGCCACTGCACTCCATTCTGGGCGACAGAGTGAGACTCCAACTCAAAAAAAAAAAAAAAAAAGGAAAGAAGCTGTAGCAATGGAATCCACATCAACTGAGATGAGCAAGTTGGTATTCTGTATAATATACACTGAAGGAATCAGGAGGTTTGTTTTGGCCATTCTGAGTGTAAAAAGACATAAATTTTCTCTCTGCTCTCCCCCTACCACAGTCAACAGAGAGTACTTCTGTGACCAGATGTGTGTGAAGGATTTTCCCCACACACCAAGTAAGTCTCCAGAGGACACCAGCCAGGTGTCATCCAATTCAGGTCTTACATTATCTAACTGAATATATTGTCAGATCACACAGGCTGAGGGCTCAGTCCCACAGGACTGCCCCCTACTGTCAGTGCCAATCACAAGTCCCAGGATGTTTTTCCTGTGTTTCTGACTGAGCTGTTATACAGGTCCCCACAACCACTTCCTTGGGTTCCATTAATTTGCTAGAGCCAGTCACAAAACTTAGGGGACACTTATATTTGCAAGTGTATTATAAAGGATATTCCAAATACACAGATGAAGATATTCATAGGGCAAGGCAAAGGGGGGAGGTGATGCAGAGCTTTCATGATCTCACCCAGGTGCACCACACTCTAGGAACCTCCATGTGTTTGGTTATCTAGAAGCTCCTCAAACCCTGTTCTTGTGGGGTTTTATGGAAACTTTATTGCATAAGCATGAATAGTTAAATCATTGGCCATTGCTGATTGACTTGGGGTGTGGGGCTGAACTTCCCAGTCCTCTAATTGTGCTTTGGTCTTTTTCCTAACCAGCCCCCCCAGCCCCAGCCTGAAATTACCTAGGGGCTGTCTGCCCTCAGTCAGCTCATTAATATACAAAGTCACTTATAAATTGGAAGATTTAATGGATTTTGGAATTGTATGCCAGGAAAGGAGAAGAAGACCAAATATATACTTCACTATATCATCGCCATGTTAATATTCTGAAACATTTTAAACACCACTTAGTGGAGGCATCAAATGGGCAACCGGACACATACATGGGAATATATGAGGAGGGGTTGATATTGGAGATATCCAATATGTGGTAACTACTGTGTAGAACAAGGTGAGTGAGCCATGGGTTACATTTAGGAGGGGCAATATTCAGATTATGGGAGTAAAACTATTAGGGGGACAGGAAAGAGAGGGGAGGTTTTTTTCCTTGGGTACTTGGGTGATGGTATTAGACTTCAGAAACACGAGTGAGAGAGGTAAGTGGTTATGAAGGGAGAATGTATCTGACAGCATAGTATGGCAGGTGATCTAGGCTGGTACCCTAGAAAAGAATGGACATGAGATACATGCAAAAGGGTGGGGGAAATTGAGGGGAAAATGACACTCAGATTGGAGCTGGTGCTTATTCACCACTCTGAACTCACCAAAACTTTGAGATGACTTTGGAGGAGTAGTCTTAGAGTGTTTTACTTGCTGCGGGACAAATATAATTACTTGTGAGAGTCACTAGGTCTGGGGTGGGCAGCCAGTGGGCCTGGGCTTTGAATGGGGTTAGAACAGAAGGTCATAATTTCTGAGAGGATAACAAATGCAGCACAGAAGTGAAATAGGGCCATGGATATTTGAAACCACAGGTGGTTCTTTGTGGGTATGGAACCATGCACGGAGGCCTTAATGGGATGATTTGGGACTAGCACTGCTATTGGCAGCCATTGGAATTCTGTGGTAATTTTGGATCCTGTTCAAATTTGCCAAGAGTACTGTGGATGATATATCCTGTGCTACCTTCATATATGGTGATAACTGATACTACCATTTGCACTGTGCTCTCTTGAATAATGTATCCTAGCCTAAAAACCCTGTTAATCAAGGGTACCAGGCAGACTTTCTGGTTATTATTTATTTGTAGCTCATTTCAGTTTCATTTTTACCCATAGAGTTACTCAAACAAACCAGCTGCATCCTCTCAAGAGAATCAGGCCATTATATTCTCTTCATCCCATAGTTTGCATACCACAGTCCCTGGTTGCTCATTCTTTTCTTTCTTTCTTTCTTTCTTTTTTTTTTTTTTTTTTTGAGTTGGATTCTCACTTCGTCACCCAGGCTGGAGTGCAGCAGCACACTCACAGTGACTCCAGCATCAACCTACTGGGCTCAGGCAATCCTTTTGCCTCTGCCTTCCAAGTAGCCAGAACTACAGGTGCGAGCTACTATGCCCAGCTAATTTTTTTTTTAATTTGCTGCAGAGATGAGGTCTTACCAAGTTGCCCAAGCTGGTCTCAAACCCCCGGGCTCAGGCAGTCCTCTCACCTCAGCTTCCTAAAGTGCTGGGATCACAGGCTTGAGCCACCATGCCTGGCTGTTCACACTTACTCATACTGCAACCCCCATGTGACCCTCTCTGGTGAGTGGTGCCCTCTTCACTCAGGCTATGAGTATATTTTATTTGTAAACTGCTATTGATGACATCTGTCCAATCAGATGTTGTGTGTTTGACCATCACTGGAACCCTAGGATGAGAATCCTACCCTTCAGTAGAAGGAAAAAGAGCACTCAAATAATTTAACTTCTGGGGAGGTCAGAGAGAGGCTTATGGTGTGGGGCAGTCAGGTGGTCATGGGTATGTGTCTGTGGTGCTGTGGTATCCAGCAATGTGAGGGATGTGTATGCAGAAGGAGAGTGTGTCTGATGGCTGCAGTATGTTGCATTGGGATTTATATGACCTTTGCTATAACAGAGGAATTTCTGGAAAGGAGAGGATAGATCTTTTTATGTCAGGACCACAACATAGATACCTGTTTATGCACCTGCCTCTTGTTGCTCATAGCTGTACATCATGCTCAGTGATCCCATGAAGACACAGTGACACTTATGGGCAAAGTTTCTTCTCTGAGTTGGGGACCCCGGGAGGTAAGGGTGGATGTGTGAGGGAGATGGATTGTGGGATCTCAGCCTAGGGGCTGTTTGTGGTTTCATCTGTCACCATCATAACAGGGCACTGTGACCTTTGAAGACGTGGCTGTGAACTTTTCCCAGGAGGAATGGAGTCTACTTAGTGAGACTCAGAGATGCCTATACCGTGACGTGATGCTGGAGAACCTGACACTTATATCCTCCCTGGGTAAGGCGCTCGCTCTCTGTGACCTGAGCTTTTATCCCCATGGGCAAGACTGTCTTTCTGATGTCAAGAGCAAGAACATAGCTTCCTACCTCAGGTCTTTGGTAGGTTCTGTGATTGGGAGGACTGGGGTATGCGTATTGCCCTCTCCTCTCCAGCAGCCCTCACACCTGCTTTGTTGCAGACTCCCAGGGAAAGATTCAGTCAGGAGTCTTACAGTCACCCTCATGCATCCCACCTTGCTTATCTTCTGTCTGTCTTCTAAGTGTGCAGATCTGAAGCTCCTGTTTGTCCCAGGTTCTGTTTCCTTCCTCTGGCTCACATTTCATCATGCCTGCCTTGTCAGGAATGACCATCACTGACATGGTCACTACTTTACATGGACCACAGCTTATTCTTGCAACACCCTACTTCAAAATTCTTTTTGTAGTATTTTGTGGGGCACCATGGCACTTGCCTATGGTCCCAGCTGTTTAAAGGCTGAGGTAAGGGAATCTTGAGCCCAGGAATTTGAGGCCAATATGAACAACATAAAAAGTCCTTGTCTCAGCCGGGCTCGGTGGCTCAGCCTGTAGTCCCGTGCTTTGGGAGGCTGAGGTGAGTGGATTGCCTGAGCCTGCAGGTTCGAGACCCACCTGGGCAACTTGGTGAGACCTCAACTCTACAATAAATTAGCTGGGCGTAGTACCGTGCGCCTGTAGTTCCAGCTACTTGGAAGGCTGAGGCAGAAGGATCGTCACTGTACTCCAGTCTGGGTGACAGAGTGAGATTCCAACTCAAAAAAGTCCTTGTCTCTAAAAAATAAATAGAAATTGTTTTTTAAATATTTAGCCTCCTTTCCTGTAGAATATCAAGTGCTGAGTTTTTCTGAGTTAGTGTCAGCTGTTCATTTATGTTATCTTCCCCTTAGTACTTAAATCATCCAGGTTCCATGTAGTTGGTCTTCTTGGTGGTGGAGTAGAGAGCCTTTGGTTGTCTTGAAGATGGAAATGAACCTAGCCTTAGCAAGATAAATTCAGGCAGCTTGATTCTGAGGAGTGACATCTGAGTAAGGACATGATATCAGAACTATGTTCAAATCATGCCGTAAACCTCTTCCATTTGGCTAGTATTTTGGTGCCAGTATAAGTAGCCAGAGATTATTTCTGCCTTTTCTTCCCCATTCTTGAGAGTTTGCTAATTTGTCATTCATATACCTTGTCACTTCTGCTGTTATATCCAGTCCAGTTCTATTTTTCATATCTCTGTACTCCCTGTCTCAACTGTATTTCTCACTACTCCGTGTACAGTGGTCTTCCATATTGGCACATGTATTTTGGTTTTAGGTTTCTTTGTTTTTGATTTTGTTTCTTTGAGTTGGGTCTCTGTTGCCCAGGCTGGAGTACAAGTGCAGTCATGGCTCATGGCAGCCTCAAACTCGTGGACTCAGGTGACCCTTCCACCTCAGCCTCTCAAGTAGCTACAGGCATACTCCACCACCTCTGGCTAATTTTTTATTGTTTTTTTGTAGAGATGAGGTCTCACTATGCTGCCTAGGCTGTCTTTACCAAACAGTTCTCCCACTTCGGTCTCCCAAAGTGCTGGGATTACAGGTGTGAGCCACTGTACCCAGACTATATTATTATTATGTATTATGAAGTACGTACCAGTTCTTAAACAGTCTCTGTCCAAAGGCCACTGTGTTTGGGTAATATTTTCTTGGCCTCAACATATTCTTCTGTATAATATTCACGTCATCAGCTAATAAGGTCCAGTAGACAAGTTTCTGCAGAAGAATGAATTATAGACCCTGCCTTTACTCTGTCTGTTGCATCATATAGTCATGCCCTTTACATCATAATGCCTCCTATATTCTAGCAGCCCTATTCTCAACCTGAACACCACTCCCTGTACCTGCAGATATTTCCATGAACTAGTTTTTTGGTTTGTTAGACACACTTGTGGTTTGATACTCTCAACAAAGTCAACCTGTACTTTACCTACATTTCCTTGCTTTTAGGTGATTGGCATGGAAGGGAAGATGCAGCAGCACCTTCTAAGCAAAGCACTTGTATACATATATACAAAGACCAGAGAGCTCACCATGGAGAAAGGCCTTACGATTGTGAGGAATGTGGGAAATTATTTAGGACCAAGACTTGCCTCACTGAACATAGGAGAGCTCACACTAAAGAATGGCCTTATGAGTGCAGTGAATGTGGGAAATTATTTTGCCAAAACTCTGCACTCCATGTTCATCAGTTATTTCACATCGGAAAAAAGCCTTATAAGTGCAGTGAATGTGGAAAATCATTTCGCCGAAGCTCTTCTCTGTTGCAACATCAGACAGTTCACACTAGTAAAAGACCTTATGAGTGTGGTGAATGTGGGAAATCCTTTAGCCGAAGGTCCAACCTCATTCACCATCAGCCAGTGCACACTGGAGAAAGACCTTATGAGTGTGGGCAATGTGGGAAATCCTTTAGCCAAAGATCTAGCCTCATTTCACATCAGAGAGTTCACACCGGAAAAAGGCCTTATGAGTGTAGTGAATGTGGGAAATCCTTCGCTTATCCCTCTAGTCTTATTAAACACAGAAGAGTTCACACTGGAGAAAGACCTTATGAGTGCAGTGATTGTGGAAAATTCTTTCGCCAAAACTCTGCACTCCGTGTTCATCAAAGATTTCATACTGGACAAAAGCCTTATGAGTGCAGTGAATGTGGAAAATCATTTCACCGAAGCTCTTTGCTCTTGCAACATCGGACAGTTCACACTAGAGAGAGGCCTTATGAATGTAGTGAATGTGGGAAATCCTTTGCTCAAACCTCTAGTCTTGTTAAACATAGAAGAGTTCACACTGGAGAAAGGCCTTATGAGTGCAGTGAATGTGGGAAAACCTTTGCTGAAAATTCCAGTCTCATTAATCACAGAAAAGTTCACACTGGAGCAAAGCCTTATGAATGTCACGAATGTGGGAAATTCTTTGCTTACACTTCAAGCCTCATTAGACACAGGAGAGTTCATACTGGAGAAAGGCCTTATGAGTGCAGTAAATGTGGAAAATCCTTTGCTGAAAACTCCAGTCTCATTAAGCACTTGAGAGTTCACACTGAAGAACGACCTTATAAATGCAGTGATTGTGGAAAATCATTTCGCCACAGTTCTTCACTCCTTCGACATCAGAGAGTTCATACTGGAATAAGGCCTTATAAGTGAAACAAATTTGGAATATTCTTTAGCCTAATCTCTGTTACTTCAAGATCAGAGTTCAGGTACAAGGCCTTATGAGTATAACAAACAGGATATTATTTAGCTAGAACTCTAGCTTCTTTATACACAGAAGAGCTCCCACTGAGGAAGTGCCTTTTGTGTGCAATGAATGTGAGAAAGCCTTCAGCCGTCTCTCACTGGATCCCAAAACATTCATAAAAAAACACCATAGTTATACAGGGAACATTATTTATTGTTCAGCGTAACACTGGAGAAGATCTCTTATGAGGGTGCCATCTGCCTGAATTGAATGTCATACATCAAACTCCTGTATAAATTCTAGGTATGTGGGAGCTGCATTACATTATTTGTCCTCCCTGGTCCCTCGCCAGACTTATTTGACTGCCAGTTCTCTGGCAAAAGCCATTTTACCTCTGCCACTTGGCAGGTGCCCACAGTGCATCTTTCACCTACTCCAGCATATTCTGGAAGCAAACCCCAGTTGTCTCGTTCACCAGTGGGATTTGTGAGTAGCCCTGGACTCATTCCTTTCTCTCTGATGAGTTAGGCTGTGAACCTGACCCATTTTTGGTCCAGAGGACCCTTCTGATAACTTGAAAAAGTGGACTACCTTTTCAGAGATCTTGTGGATCTCATAGGATCCTTTAGATGGGATTCTCAGCCTTCCAGTTATGAACCTGAGACAATCTCCCTTCCTTTGCTTTGGTTTGTGTGTTTTTTTGTTTTGTTTTGAGTTGGAGTCTCACTCTGTTGCCCAGACTGGAGTGCAGTGGCCGCTCCCGGCCACCGCAGCCTCGACCTGCTGGGCGCCAGCCATCCTTCTGCCTCAGTCTTCCAAGTAGCTGGAACTACAGGCACGTGCTACCACGCCCAGCTGATTTTTGATTTACTGTAGAGATGAGGTCTTGCCAAGTTGCCCAGGCGGGTCTCAAACCCGCGGGCTAAGGCAATCCACTCACCTCGGCCTCCCAAGGTGCGGGATTACAGGCTGAGCCACAGAGCCCGACTGGTTTGTGTTATAATGAAGGCTTTATCGTTTAAGACACTTTTGAACTTGGAAGTTGCATATACTGTATAGGGTGGTTTTAAAACAACTAGGTTTGCTACCATGAAAGGAGTGAACAGCATTTTTTGGGATCACTAAACTTGGTATGCCTTACAGGGGAGAGTATAATGGCAGCATATAGCTTTTGTTCCAATTTTGGCCTAGTTTCACTGTTTCCCAAGGCCTCCAAAGAAAGACTCTAGTGTTTTTTGTTCATTATTTTAGTCTGGATACTACAAACGGTTCATAGGTGAACCTGAGAAGGGGGCAGTTTTGCCACAATCTCTGGTGCTTCTGAGAGGAACGTGAAATTTTTCTCATTTATAGGGGATATTGCATTGTGTTCAGTACTGTTGAGGGTAGCTTCACAAGTTGTGAAGTTATAGGGGAAATTATAATTTTCATAGAAATACTGCATTTGTAGGTAGTGAATGAGACTGCACAAAGTAGCTGGAATGTGCCTCTTTTAAAAGAGCATCCACAATGATGGCTGTGAAGGGTGTGTACACACAGGAAGTTCTCAGGAACTCCTAAATTTTGAATCTTGTGTAGCTGAGTCAGTGTCAGAGAAAATAATCTAAAAGGTCTTGTGGTATCTGGGATCCCTCTGGGCTATTGACCTAAAGGCCATTTCTGCATAGACAGGGAGAAGAGGATAGGGAGAAGGGAGATCTGTTAGACCACTGTGTGGCCTGTGTGAGCAGCTTCGTTCTTTTTGGATTATCTGGAAATGGTCTTCATTGCTTATCGTATTTTTGCTATGAGGCATAGCTGGGTGCCTCATGCAGGTCATGAGGAGAGATAATACAGCAGAATAGAGTTCATAAACCAGCCAGGCATGGTGGCTCACGCCAATAATGCCAGCATTTTGGGAGGCTGAGGTGAGAAGATTGCCTGAGTCCATGAGTTCGAGACCATCTTGGACAACTTGGCGAAACCTCATCTCTACAATAAATTTTTAAAAAATTAACTGGGCATGGTGGCACATGCCTGTAGTTTCAGCTACTTGAAAGGCTGAAGCAAAAGGATCATCTGAGCCCCACAGGTTGAGGCTGCGCTGGCTGTGAGCATGCTACTGCACTCCATCCTGGGCGACAAAGGGAAATTCTGACTCAAAAAAAAAAACAAGAGTTCATAAATGTATTTTGCAAAAGTCATAGCAAGTCTTGGTTTTTCTTTGCCGCCGCATTCTAAAAGCTGTAATGTATCAATGACAGTCAACCACACGTATTTAAACTGTACAGTATGATGTTCTGACATTCATATAAACCCACAAAACTATCATCACAGTCATGATATAGAAGTTATTCATCACTTTCTTATTTACCTAGTGTCTTTTAATATCTTTCTTTCAGTCCTCCAGACAATCATTGGTATACTTTGCTTTATAATAATTTCATATTTTTAAGGTTTTTATGTGATTTGATTCCATAAAACGTTTAGTCATTTTATCCCTGGATGCTCTCCTGCAGTGTATTTGAGATTTATCAATGATGATACTTGAGTAGTTTATTCTTTTTGCATTGCAGAGATATAGGACATACTATAAAATACCACTGTATATTCATTTATCTGTTTATACACTCTTGAGATGTTTTTCATGTTGACTGTTATAAACTGTATACACTTGAATACAATTCTTCATATGATGTTTCATTTCTTTTGCACTAATCCTGAGGTTTAATAACTGAGTCATAGAGTAGGTGAATATATAGCATTTTAACGGCTTTATGCCACAGTGTGCCCTAAAATGAACATGGTTGTTCCCCTTAGTATTACTATCACCAATGTCCGAAAGTTCCACTTCTTCCATATTTTTACTGATAAAGAATATGGATAGTCTTTTAAAATTTTGCCTCTCTTAATAAGTGGGTATGCCGTCTTATGTAAAACATCTATTCATATATTTTGCTTATTTTTAAAGATATTATTTAATTTATAGAGATAGGATCTTGCTTTGTTGCCAAGGCTGGAATGCAGTGGCACAATCATAGCTCACTAAAGCCTTAAACTCTGCCGGGCTTGGTGGCTCAGCCTGTAATCCCGCGCCTTGGGAGGCTGAGGTGAGTGAATTGCATGAGCCCGCGGGTTCGAGACCTGCCTGGGCAACTTGGCAAGACCTCATCTCTACAATAAATAAAAAAAAATTAGCTGGGTGTAGTAGTGCGTGCCTGTAATTCCAGCTACTTGGAAGGCTGAGGCGGAGGGATTGCCAGAGCCCAGCAGGTTGAGGCTGCGGTGGCCAGGAGCGGCCACTGCACTCCAATCTGGGCGACAGAGTGAGACTCCAACTCAAAAAAAAAAAAAGCCTTAAACTCAAGCAACCCTCCTGTCTCTGCCTCCTGAGTAGCTGGGGTCACAGGCATGCACCACCACACCTGGCTAGTTTTTTGATAGTTTGTAGTGTTGGGATCTCACTATGTTATCCAAGCTGGTCTCAAGCTCCTAGTCTAAAGTGATCCTCCCACCTCAAGCTTCCCTAAGTGCTCAGATTATAGGCATGAGACATTGTCCGGTTGCTTGTTTTTCTTTTTTAATGAATTTTGTCTGTTTTCCCTTTTTTCTAAAGACAAAGTCTCACTCTGTCACTCAGGCTGGACCTCCTGGGCTCAGGCGATCCTTCTGCCTCAGCATCCCAAGTAGCTAGGAGTACAGGCACATGTCACCAAACTGGCTTTTATTTTTTTGTGTGTTACTTTACTTATTTTGTTTTTGTAGAGATTAAGTTTCACTGTGTTGCCTAAATTGGTCTTGAGCTTAGACAATCTGCCTGCCTCGATCTCTGAAAGTGCTGGGATTACCTCTGTGAGCCACCGTGCCCAGTCTGTTTTCTGTTTAATTAAGAATAATAGTGAACCAACAAATCCTAATGTTGGATCTCATTTATTCTTCAGTAGTGTGTATGTATTTGTTTAGAGGCAGGGTCTTACTCTGTCACCCAGGCTGGAGTATAATGGTGCAGTCATAGCTCACCATGGCCCAAACTCCTGAACTCAAGTAATCTTCCCTTCTGAGCTTCCTCGGTAGCTGGGACTACAGGCATGTACCACTGCACCCAGCTTATTTATTATCTTTTTTATAGAGACAGGGTCTCTTGTTGCCCAAGGTGATCTTGTACGCTTGGCCTCAAGTAATCCTCCCACCTCAGCTTCACATCATTCTTTAGACAGCATAGATGCATGCCAGTGGCCACCACAACCTAACTGCTGCACACCATAGGCCTCTCTTTGCCTCTCCCCCCAAATTAAAAGTATTTTAATCCTTCTCTTTAACTCCACTGGCAAAGGTGAGATTACTTCTACAGGGTTATAGTGATGGATGAATGCCATCAACTGCAGTTTATTAAACAATTTGACCTAAAAGAAGAGGACACCACTAACCACACAGGGCCACACGGGGTTACACTAAGGATGAGTGAACAATCAGGGACTGTGGTACATAAGCTTTGTAAGACAAAGAAAGTATAGTGGACTCTGATTCTCTTGGGAAGATAGAATTGGCCTTTTTTAATAACTGCAAGTCGAAATGGTAATAAAACCTGCAGGAAAGGAATAATAGAGAATTCTGCCTGGTCCCCTTGATTAAAAAGGGTCATTAGATGAGAATATTTCTCAAATTTTGTAGAGATGGGTTCTCACCATGTTGTCCAGGCTAGTCTCAAACTCCTGGTTTAAAGTGAGCCTACCACCTCAAGCCTCCCAAAGTGCTCAGATTATAGGCATGAGCCACCATGTCTGGTCGCTTGCTTTTTTATTTTATTTTATTTCTTGAGTTGGAGTCCCTGTCGCCCAGACTGGAGTGCAGTGGCATGCTCCCAGCCACTGCAACCTCAACCTGCTGGGCTCTGGTGATCCTTCTGCCTCAGCCTTCCAAGTAGCTGGAACTACAGGCGTGCGCTACCATGCCCAGCTAATTTTTTGATTTATTATAGAGATGAGGTTTTGCCAAGTTGCCCAGGCAGATCTCGAACCTGCAGGCTCAGGCAATCCACTCACCTCAGCCTCCCAAAGCGCGGAATTATAGGCTGAGCCACCAAGCCCGGCTTGCTTTTTATTTTTTAATGAATTTTGTATTCAGAACTTCTAAATTCATCTCAGTTTCAACAAATATCAAGTTGGGTCTTAGTTTTGGACCTTATACCATAATGTGGCAGGCAGCATCCAGACTATGCTAGGCAAATTCAGACAGGATCCAACATTATCAGGGAATTTTTATTGTTTCCAGTAGCAGTGGTAGCAACAAATCATTCTATAAAGGCCTCCATCATGGTCCCATATACACACAAAATTACATTTGAGCTGTGGTGGCTCACGCCTATAATTCCAGCATTTTGGGAGGCCAAGGTAAGAGGATTGCCTGAGCCCACGGGTTCAAGACCAGCCTGGGCAACTTGGTAAGACCTCATCTCTACAATAAATAGAAAAATTAGACAGGCATGGTCATACGCTTGCAGTCCCAGCTACTTGGAAGGATGGTCTGAGTCCAGCAGGT